GTGCGCGCAGACAAAGGGCTGGAGTAAAGAGGCACAGGTTGAATTCCGCAATGTGGTTGGCTCTGCAGCAGTGGAGATGCGGCCTTTGGGTCAGGACCGAGAGTCTTTGTTGGTAGACCTGCGGAAAGCTCCCATGGAACAGTTCAGCTCCAGTGTATTCATCTCTATCAGAGAGTATCTTGTTTTCATTGAAGTAGCCAGGTACCCATAAATGTCCAAATAACCCAAACCCATAAAAATTAAATCGTATTCATTAGGACTGAATAAAAATTTATTTTGAAGCTCTGTCACCAAAATGGCCTAAACTTGTCTATGTTTCCCCCAAAAACTGCTCATAGGTTTTATTCTCCAGTGACGCTGAGCAGGAAGCCTCTGCTGTACTACCCTCCTGTATATCCCAAGATTAACAGCAAGATCAGTGCTATGGTGTCCCATATCAACAACCCTGCTAACTTCTACATCAACCTGGTACTACACATGAACATGAATAAATATGTAATATCCTCCAACTAATCTCAGATGCCAGCAATAGAATTTAAATAAAAAAAAATACACAAATTGCATTGCGTGGGGGGAAAAAAAATTATTAGGGGTGCAACAATACATGTATCGATATTGAACCGTTCAATATAGTGCTTTCGGTTCGGTACGCATATGTATCGAACAATACAAATTTTTTTATTTATTTTATCAACTTTCTTCTGACGATGCTGCCTGTGTCGAGAGCTCAGTGGATCTGCACTGTTGAGTGCAGATCCACTGAGCGCAGCGCAAGCTAGCAAGACAGAAGCTAAGCTCGTTGCAACATGTCAACTGCCTCAACGCTACCCGAATTTGAACCTCCCCCACCCTCATTCAGATCTGGCCTTTGGACCTATTTTGGTTTTCATGTGAAGCATGCCCCTGATGGTTAGCGCGTCATGGACAAAAGTAAAACATTATGTCGGATGTGCCACGCAATGCTCAATTGTTGGGAACTAGTGCGTTAGCGCAGTTAACGTGTTGACGCCGTCCAGCCTCACCACCAGGCGATCCGCGGTAACTCGTTAACAGAGATTTTCCGCGTTATGGCATTAATGTCATTTTAACGAGATTAACGCTGACAGCACTAGTGGGAACACAA